TCCATAAATTAGAGTCTCGCCCCTAGTTCTTCTATCCCACACACATAAACAAGTGAATATGGAGACAACTAATGAATTGGTAGCCTTGGTATCAGTAGACCTCAATAAAACATAACGGAAAAAGAAAGATTCTCAAATATAACAAAGTGAGCATCAAATAAATTAGTATTGATGGAAAAACTCTGGAAGAGGTTGAATCTTTCACATACCTGACTGATTAGTATCATCGATGAATGTGGAGAATTTGATGAAGGTGTAAAGAAAAGGATTGGTAAAACATGAGCATCATTCATAAGGTTGAAGAATACATGGAACTTAAAACAACTGTTTGTCAACTAACATCAAAGTCAGAACCCTCAAAATGGACGTCAACACAGTTGGTTCTACTGTACGGAAGTGAAACTTGGAGAAGTATTGAAACTACTATCAAGAGAATACAAATATTTAAAAACAATTATCTACACAAGATAGTGAATGACCGTTGATCGGACACAATCGGTAACAACCTACTATGGGTAAGAACAAACCAACTTCCATCTGAGGCGGAAATTAGGAAAAGACGATGGAAGTTCAAAGGACATACATCGTAAAAATCATTAAACTGCATCATGAGAGAAGCACTAACTTAAACTCGTGAAATAAAGAATAAAAGAGGAAGGTCAAACAACACACTGTACCGAGAATTGAAATCAGACATGAAAACGATGAATAACAACTGGAAAGAACTGTAAAAGGTTGCCCAAGACAAAGTTGGTTGGAAAAATGTTGTGGGCGGTCTATGCTCTTCCATGAGGGGTAACAAACATAAGTAATTCTCTTCATTGTTTCTATTATTTTTTATTTATTAGTTACAAAAGGAGTTGTGAAATAGATAAAATTGATTGTTCATCAACGGGAAAAAAGGGAAAATAATGATTCATTCAATCACTTAATTATTGCGTAATCTAATCAGTAAACAAGTTACTTATCAAAATCATTCAAAAGTAATTGATAAAGAAAGAAAGAAAGAAAAGAGAAGAAAAGTAACACCATCTGATTAAATCAACTAAAATAGATTTCACATTGTATGGCTGTTTCGTCCTAATATGAAACTCCTCAGCAGTGCGCATCCCCAATCATGCATGCGAGACTGTAGCGCGAACGCTTAACCTCTAGATCATGACTCAAAAATAGATGGAGAATAAGTTTTCATACATGTAAAACGTAAATGATCTCAAATGGAAAATGATTGAAAATCATTATAACATTACTTTTACACCAGTACTGGGATACCTGTCCTTGTCATCTATATATTTCAAAAGTCATCTGTTTTTGTGTTTGCTTGTTTGTTGTTGACACATCTTTATGTTTATTAATTGATCACATAACCTATTTAGGTGCATTTATGAAAAATCTACGACCTTTCTCTATACAAGTTACAAAACAGTACAATTAGAGACGTTGTTGTGGCTGGGCACAATATACATTGAAATGAATGTACATTATTCATATGTGAATTGATGAACTGGTATCATCATAATGACGATCAATCGATATTTATCAACATGCTCAATCAAGAAATAAGAAAAAAGAAGCTTGTTGAAGTACTTTGTGTTGAGAATTCTGTATTGTACCAAAAAGACAATATTGAATAAAACCTGCAATAAGAAAGAAGTACGCTAAAAATCGAATCAGAATTGATGATTTTTAACTAAAAAGCAACTTAACTTCAGTAGAAATACAATATACACAATAAATAATAAAAATAATTTACATACCTAATACTAAACACGTTAATTTCAAATCTTCTCCAGGTATTCCAGCTGCATTGCCATTATCATCAAGCCCATCAATTTGTACCTTGATTGATCTACCACTTACTGAAATTGTAATTAAGTAGATAAAAATATATACTAAAAAAACGTGAATGTTAATAATGAATAATGAATGTTCCTTCTCATTACATATTCAGTTGATAAGGTTATTGTTACAACAATAAACTTGAATGATCTGAATTCACTATTGACTGATGTTTAGATTATCATCTTTCAATTTGTTAGAACTATACCCATTTACTTCAGTGATCTTCTTTGTATTAAAATGTTGATCACTTATGGACATAGTAAAATGTCGATGATTTCACTGTATAAAATTATCTTCAATGTTGTATTTTAGATGGTAGTTGGAGGTAGACTACCTCCAACTACCATCTAAAATCTCAATACATAGTGCCTGCATTGTCGAGTCACCTAGACTGTTGACCACATTGCAACATGGTCGATAGCATTCGATCTGCACTAATAAGGACTAGACAAGCATGACCTTGATCACCACCGAGTGATCAATCAATTGTGATCAATGTTGTATACTAGTTTGTGTAGATTAAAAATTAAAGACTACAGTCATATTTGGATGATTGACAACTGATCTACATTGCATCGTTCAAAGTAATACTTTAATAGTTAAAGTCTTTAGTTTTCAAACATTTAACACATTTGAACACATCAATATTGGTACAGATACCATATGCACACACACACCACACATGTCATTTGATTTGTGCGTGGATTATGAAACTACCCAAGTGCCCAGATTAAAACGGATGATTTTCTTGGGAGGCCACATCCGGAATCTTCAACCTATAGGTCTGATCTACAAGGCAGTAGAGCGACGTATGGAGATGCAGTCTCATAGTAGCCGGTGACCAACAATAAGTTCATACACCAATTGTTCCGTCAGGAACCTGGTCTATTTTCATCATTGGTTTTGAATCAGGATTCTCCAGCTTGCTTACATGGACCCTAAAGATCCATCAACCAGGTTAAAGCGCCGGATATTTGTTTTTTAGTAGTGTCGCGAGAAGTCAGTGAGTAGGACTTCCCTGACTTTGTCAGTATACGCCATGTAACGGCATTTCGAGGTATAGAACGAACACTGTCCATTCTTGGTCGTATCAGGGTATTTGAGGGCTTTTAAACATTGGATCACAGATTTGTACTTCATTCTATCCATTTAAATTATGAAAAACCAATAGTATAACTCACTTTTCCCCCCCTTTCCCTCTCTCTCTCTCGCACACACCCACATTTATATAAGACGTATCTCAAGATTTAGTAACATACTCAATATTTGATTAGTTGTCTATCTATCTGTTGTTTGTTAAAATGGATATGATAATTAAACTATTACTGTTCAATCTCTATTTAAAGCATAAATTACTTTAAGTCATCTGTATTTTAGTTAAACAGAAAAAAGATCTGACCAAATAAGCGTTCGTGCGCAAGACTGGAGGCCCTAGGTTCGAATCCCTTTTGTGAGAGATCGTGCATGCGCACAGCTGAGGAGTCACACAAGAGGACGTAACGCCGCGCCAATGCTTTCAGGTTTTCAATAGTGAGCTAATTTCATTCGAATCATGATCTCAATCAATAACTCATTAAACTTGGCTATATAATTAACTTACTAGCATAAACAGTTACAGGAATTGTTGACCAAATGGTGATTTCAACTTCATTAGCTGATCTAATAACACTAGGAGATTAATCTGTTCGATATCTTTTCAATGGATAATTAGATTCCTTTTGTTGATTATCTATTTCATTTAGTTCTTGTTCATTTGCATTATTATTCATTTCATCAATAGATTTCACAATAACATTAAATCGGAGTTTCAATGGTTTCGTTGTATAATGTGGATTCATTATGATTAAACTACCATTTGTACTATTGAATAATATTGATTCACCTAATTCACCAGTATGAGCTGGTAAACCACTAATATATGCTAATCTATATGAATAACGAATGATTTGTGTATTCGTTGTATCATCTAATGGGGTATCAGTTGTAGCTACTAGAAAATACAAAAAGAAGAAACAAAACAAAACAATACAGTTATGAATATCAATCAATCATGAATGAAAGTTATCACTGCTACAATACACTTGGAATCCTGAAGGGAAACAGAAAAGAGGAAGGCTACGTTGAGGAATAGAAGCAAATAACAACTAGAAAGAGCTGGAAAGGATAGCTTGGGACAAGGTTGGGTGGAGAATGCTGTTGGGCGGCTTATGTTCCTTTACGAGGAGTAACAGGCGTAAGTAAGTAAATAAGTAAGCTGATTTACCATTCACAGTTATTGATAAATCATCCTATGAGTTAGTTGACGCATGGAATGCAAAGGACAAGAATTGCTGATTGCTTTGGTATACCACAGTCCAAACTGCTAGGTGAGTGAAGTCTTGCTAGATGGTTTCAACACTTGGTGACCAAGTGGTCGATATTAATTCTTAAAAGACTTTGATGCATCTACGGTAAACTAGAAAATTCTGAGAACTGGATTGTTAGAAAATTTCTTGGAAATTAAATTAGTTAATGTTGTTTTTACATGTGACCAAGTGCAACATTTGGAAGAAGTGACTTGGACTCCGAATCATTCCTACTAGATCTCATTTTGACCAGTTAAGAGGATTACGTCACAAACCACCAATATATCCTACCCTTAGGTAAAAGCGACCATCCGGCTTTAATCTTTCACATCTATTTAGTTGTCAATAACGAGCATGTGTCAGCCCAAGATAGACCACACGTCTGAAAAGAAAATATACAAGAAAAAAAACACTCAGCATCCTTGGTAGATTTGAAAATAGAACCAGAACTTCCCATTGAAACAGCTTGAGAGTTATTCACACGTTTTATATACGAGTCATCACACTGCACATCTTATGCACTACACCAAGGGGTTTGTGAAACTCTCCACCGTGGTTCAGTAAAGAGGTTCGCACCTTTCTCCGTAACAATAAATCAATGTGGGAAAGATTTAGGTTACTGGATAATGACGAGACAAAATTTAAATATAGAGAAGCCCGAAACATTTGTCTCCACACTCCACAAATCCAGAAGGTTATGCAAAGAAAAACCTGCTAAGGAGTCTATAGAAAATCCTAAACGATTTTGCCCATACACAAAGCAAAAGACTAAGAGAAGAGGAAATATTCGAGTATCATGGTGAGACAGTAGTACTTCATCACTAGTGAAGTACGATTATGATAAACCTCAGGTATTCTCAAACTATGTATGTATAATAGAGATACCCTCAAATTCAGTTCATATAAAACCCTCCTCCTCCCCAAACACACATATGCTGAAAACTGTGACCATTACTTATTTACTTACTTACGCCTGTTACCCCTAATGCAAGAACATAAGCCACCCAACGCGATTATTCATGCAACTCTGTTCTGCACAATCCTTCCCACTTCTTTCCACTTCCTATTCATCCTTCTCATATCTGCTTCCAATTGAAAAACGCAGTGTGTTATTTGACCTTCCACTTTTCCGTTCCCCTTCACGATTCAATTTTACCATTTGGCTCGTGATGCAATCTGATGATTTCCACAATTTGTGGACTATCAACTTCTATCGACTTTTGCTCATTTCCTCTTCTTACTTGGTTGTTGACTGACATACAGTTATTTTGAGTTTCTTATGTTCTTCAACTGTATGAATGTTACCCTTATTTAGACAATCCTTGTCTTTACACCTTCATCAAATCCTTCACGTTCATCAACGATGCTGTCCAGTCAGGTATGAGGAAGCTCAACCAGCCAATTTAAATCTATTTCTATTGTTATATACAAGAACAAGAGGCGAGATAATCTCAGTTTTTAAATTACTTAGTGATAATTTTGCATCTGATATGCCCTCATATTTATTATCTTCACAAACAGAGAGAATTTATAACGATACTCTAAAACCAATTCACAGTTCCAGAGCAAATTACTTCTAAGTTAACTATCGATTTTCCTATCGAATCTTCAATGAATGGAATTCAGAATGGGTTTTGTGGAGAGTTTTAGAAATTTCACAGATTGCAATCATGAGTCAGTTGAAGCTAAACCACCATTGAAAACCTGGAAGCACTGGACGGCCGTTTCGTCCTAGTATGGGACTCCTCAGCAGTGCGCGTCTACGATCCCGCACCACACGGGGCTCGAACCCAGGAACTACTGGCTTCGCGCGCGAGCACTTAACCACTAGACCACTGAGCCGGCTGGCATCCAACGGGGTTCATGTCTAACTTTCAACCTGTGAAATTTCTAAAACTCTCCACAAACCCATTCTGATAATAATCAACTGCTCACTAGTGACTGACTTCAGGAAAAACTCCTGGAGTTCTAGTGAGAAGCCGTTACCAGTGGAGTTCAACCGGCCTGTTGTGAGATAACAACTCACTGAAGACAATGGTGTACGGTGGCGCAACTTCGTGGATTGGTTGAAGTTAGATATTAACACTGTTGGATGCCGGCTCAGTGGTCTAATGGTTAAGTGCTCGCGCGCGAAGCCAGAAGGTCCTGGGTTCGAATCTCGCGGGAGGCGAGGTCGTGGATGAGCACTGCCGAGGAGTCCCACAATGGGACGAAACGACCGTCTAGTGCTTCCAGGTTTTCAATGGTGGTCTAGCTTCAACTGACTCATGATTTCAACCTGTAAAATGGAATTCATTTCCTCAATATATGATTGAAGCTTCATCTGTCAACACTTTCAAAACAATGTTGGATCAATAGAAAGGACTAATACAAGCCACTTAACCTTCTGTCCGTTACAATGTGAGAATGAAACTGAATAGTCTCCATGGTAAATTTGGATAGGGTAATAAGAAGATAAAGATTATCAGAATTATGTGACAAATAGTTGCACAATACATTACATATAATGTGATCATACATATGCCTGTTAAGAACATTTATATATGAAAAAAATAAACGGTTAATGAAACAAATGGAAGGATAGGAGAAAACAAAGATAAGAAAAACGATATGTGAAACTCACCACACCGGATAATATAAACTAATATTATCGGAATAGGTAATGATAAACTATTTATAATTATAGTAGTTTAATTCATTAGCCAATTAAAGCTAGATCATCATGGAAGCACTAGATGGCCGTTTCGTTCCATTATGGGACTCATCAGCAGTACACATCTACGACCTCGACTTCGCAAGATTCCAACCCGGAACTTATCGGTTTCACGCGCAAACGCTTAATCACTAGACCACTAAACTGACCGGTATCCAACACAGTTAATGTCTATTTTCAACCATAAAAGTGGTTTTGAATTTTCTCATAACCAAGGTTTTAATAAACTTCAGTATATAGATTATTGAACAATTTTGTAGATCATAAAAAAGTTGATTAAAATCAATCTTCTGATCTGTTTCAATTCTATTTATTTGTTTAAACACATAGATATTGGTACAAAGAGGCACCAAATAGATATGCGCCACATAAATCATTACGTTTGTCTGAGGGTTAAGACACTAGCCGTCTGCTCAAACTGAAGCAGATAGTTTTCTTAAGGGGCCACATCCAGAACCTTCAACCTAAAGGTCTGATCTACAAGGCAATGGTGCAACGTCAGGGGATACAGTCCTATGGTAGCCTGTGACTAACAGTAGGTTCATACACACTTTGTTCCTTCAAGATACTGGAGTCCATGTGCATCATTGATTTGAAAATCAAGGTTTCCAAGCTTCCCTAGATACATTCTCCATGTTTACCAAACTATATAGATATGTTTATTAAACAACTATTAACTAACTGTCATGATAACGTATTATAGATATAGGGACATAAAAGAAAGAAAGAAAGAAATTTAAACATATTCATAAACTTACATTTTGCAATAGCACGAATCTCATCAGTTTTATCATCATTTATAGTTAAACTAATTTGTTGTTTATCATTATCCATAGGTATAATGTCAATTATCACTTTATCATCTGATACTACAAATAATAAGGAAAAACAACTTGGATTAGGAATGAAGAAGAAATCTGTGGACTTGTTTATATTTATAAAAGATGAGAATGATTAGATGGAGGTTACATGCGAAACCATGTGAACAATCATTTCCATAAAAGGATCTCTTTTCTACAACCCCACATCACCCAACCCCCCCCCTTCTCCGAAAATGGAATTGCATGTTTAATAAATTAAACAGTGATAATGACTATCCTGTCATTCAAATACCTTTTTCTTTATCCATTGAATTCAATGGAAAGTGTGTATATGTATGTGTGTGTGTGTGTGCGAGGTGTGTGTGTGCAGGGGGGGTAAGTATTTACTTCATTTAAAACTGTTACTAATTCATTATTGTATTATTGAAATCAATTCCATGTTTAGTTTTTGTTGTCAATCAATTATCTTGAAAAGATATTAATGATGTTTATTTTCAATTTCATTCATAGAGAATCTTTATAATTGATGTCAAGACCAAAGATCCTGGATAGAATCCGTCAGAGAGTAGCAGTTCCTTCAGAATTATAAGCACATCTTACTGATAAGTGTCAAGTAACATTAAACCTAAGTTCAAGATTTCCTGTTGACTAGATCTAACTATTCAATTCTAGTTGGTAGATCTATTTGATTTCAACATCAGTATAAAACATGTAAGCTATGTATTGAAATCAATCAATAAGTTATGTAATCATAATCAATCTATCTTAGAAATATTTTTGTTCAAAGTTATAAATAATCTTGTCTAATTCCATACAAGATTCCACGCTTCTATGGTTGAGATCATGATTCAAGTGAACCTAGATCACCATGGAAAACCTGTAAATAATAGATGGTTGATTCATCCTATTGTGGGACTCCTCAACAGTATTCAACAGTGCAAGATTCGTACATACGACCTATGAGTCTCGCTTAACCTCTAGACCACATTCAATCAGTCAATAACAACGTAGAACTTCGTACGTACGTACATCAGTTCGAGTTGCCACACCACATTAGCACAGAGATGCAGTTGTCGACTCAAATCCAGTAGTGGTAGAGGTAGTAAGAGTATAAGCAGTAATCGGGAAGATTAGGGTTTGGAGATGTTATTCAAAGAGTACAATCCAGTGAAATAAATTTGGAAAGAGAAAAAGAAAAGGTACATGAAGAATTCAGAAGATTAGAATTTAGGAGAACACAAAGAGTGGATGAACCTGCGCCATTGCAAACGATTTTTAGCCATGTCATTCAAGGTCTTTAACCATCAGTTGCGATCATCTCGTGGTTCCCAACCAGGTAGTCTACACCTACCAACATGGCTCAGTCTACTTGTCAGTGACTTCTAGACCACTGGAGCCAGCTATTATCTAATAATGTTAGTGTTTAACTTTTGTTTACAAAATATAATAAAAAAAGTTTACCATCAACTGGAAGTATTTCCTCTGGTTGTAGACTACGAATTGTATTCAATGGTTGTATATTTGTAAAGAATAAATCAGATGAATAGGTCTGTGGTGATTGTTCAGTGAAATTATCTTCTTTAGGCCATATTGTTATAAGGCATCGACCTTTTTAGGTGTATTATATTTAATATTTATAATCTTCATTTTATTCCCTTCAGTTGTTATTATATCACCAATTTCACTGATATCAGCTAATTCACCATCGATTTGACGCCAATCCCATCCATAAGTCACTTTACTGTTAATATATGGTTGACCAGTATTATGATCTACAAAATAAATTTTCGTTTTAAAATGAAGAACAACGAAGTGATCTGGATTTCTATATAAGAACAAGATGATAACTATTTGAATGTTCATTTGTCTATGTAGTGAACAGGGAAAACAAGAAGCCTTGACAAACTATGGAAGCTATTTTTCGCGGAAGTTATTCCATTTTATTCAAAGCTTGTAAAACACTAACATTTATTTTTGTTTCTTGTCTATTCTACGGAACATAAGCTTTCGTTCGATGTATGATTCATTGCCATAGCCCTTTTCTGTTCCGAAGCTATTGTAATTTAAACATAATATTTTGCACCCCATTTTCTACTCTAATTCCCAGCTTTGGACATAATTGTATTCTTCCTAATTATTGTACGTTGTGGTCAGGTTAGTCACATATTTATTCATGTACCTTTTTACAGTAATCTGAACTGAACTGAACTGAAGTGAAATCAGGATATCGGGAAGAGATCGAGTAGTGTTCCAGTTGTCTTGTCTTCTTTCATTCGCGTGCTTATCAGCCAATCAGGTGATAGAATAGTTTTCTTCTCTCTACCCCACTTCGAACTCACGCGTACTCGCCTCAAGGTTAGGTCGGTGAGCCTATGGCGCCAAGGTCTTAATCTGAATATTAGATAAGTAACCTCAGCACCAAGAGTGGGTAGACAGACCAAACGACATAACAGTCTACCGTACTATTCAAATCTCATTTATGAAATGCAATTGGCATACATAACTAAAATTTTACGCTTTGATCATCTAACTGAAGGAATTGTCTAAAGCTTCATTTAGATCATTGATCGAATTCATTCATATCAATGATCTCTGGACAGCTGTTACATCATATTATAAGGATCCAGTAGTATATGCTTGTACAATCCTTTCCAAGTATAATGGAAACCGTATACAAACTCTGACTTTGCCAGGACTCAGATAACTAGGACGATATCAATCAAATATTATGATTGAATTTACTTTGACTTAAATATTTTCTAAGGAGATTAGAATAATTTGAATTCTAAAGCGGATTGTCATTTTCTATCGTAGTTTAAAACATTTCATTAAAGTAAATTCATACTCCGGCACATAGATCAGCAGTTGAGATCATGAGTCAGCTGAAGCTAGACCACCATGGAAAACCTAGAAGCACTGGGCGGCCGTTTCGTCCTATTGTGGGACTGTTCAGCAGTGCGCATCCACGACCTCGCTTCGTGGGGTCTGTTGAAATTACTACAATCTCCACAAAACCCCTTCTGATACATAGATCAGGCTTGATATCTTAAAATCGATCCATATAAATAATCCTTTTAGCTAATGAACCAGAACCAGACTTCAATAGAATGAAACTTGAGTACTGCATACAAGCGGCTAGACCCTGTTTTAAAAAAGACTGTGATCTTCTGGAAAAGGTTCACAGAACAGCAACTAAGCTGATTCCCGGAATTGCGAAGCTTCCGTATGAAGCTCGACTGGCCAAGCTAAACCTTTTCCCGTTGTCATATCATGGAACTAGAGGCGACTTCATTACAGTTGCTTAGTGATAAATTTACATCTGATATGCCCTCATTTTTCTTGACTCCCAAAACAGAGAATTTACGAGGATACTCCAAAAAAGTTCTCAAGCCCAGAACAAATTACTTGTCAGCTGACTATAGACTTTCCCATCGAATCATTAACGAGTGGAATTCATTACCTCAGCACGTGGTTGAGGCTCCATCCGTCGACTCTTTCAAAAGAAAGTTGGATCAACTGAGAAACTACCATTGCCAGGACTAACACAGGCCCTCAAGCCTCCTGTCCTTTCCAAACTGAAATTGAATGTAGTTTATTTTGAACGGAATGTACAAATGAAATACTTTGATACTAAAAAAGTATCTATACTGGTTCAGTTCAAGTCTAATTCATTTTAAATCCCAATCTCTAGGACAATTTCATTCAAATTGAGCGAATAATGTATCATTGAGATGTGAATAAACATATATACGAGGTATACTGCTGAAATAAACAAACAAAAAG